TAAAAAATGAGGTATAGGGAAGATTTAAAAAAGGGAAAGAAAAAAGGTTAATTCTCAGATTGGCCAGCTACCTTCCATACCATATTCTCTCTTTTTTTAAAAAATATTTTATTTATTTGACAGAAAGAGACACAGTGAGAGAGGGAACACAAGCAGGGGGAGTGGGAGAGGGAGAAGCAGGCTTCCCGCTAAGCAGGGAGCCCGATACAGGGCTCAATCCCAGGACCCTGGGATCGTGACCTGAGCCGAAGGCAGACGCTTAACAACTGAGCCACGCAGGCACCCCCCATACCATATTCTCAATGTAATCTATATTAAGGTCATATTGTTAAAATGTTATATGCCATATATATTAAACAAATATTTAAAAGAAGCCTATAACTATAAAAGAAGCCTGCTATAATCATATTAAACTTCACAAAAGGAGACATATCAGTTGAAGTGTATTAAATTTGAATTGTATCTGAAAACAAAGTTTTTAATTTAAGTAGATATTTCAAAGCTTTCTACTGACATTTTTTTTTTTTAAGATTTTATTTACTTATTTGACAGAGAGAGAGCACAAGTAGGCAAAGCGGCAGGCAGAGGGAGAGGGAGAAGGAGGACCCCCCGCTGAGCAGGGAGCCCGATGTGGGACTGGATCCCAGGACCCTGGGATCATGACCTGAGCCGAAGGCAGATGCTTAATGATTGAGCCACCCAGGTGCCCTACTGACATTTTCATCTTGCTGGAAATGGCACTCACATCTAAAACACAGTAATAAAAAGCTCCTCTATAAAAAACTCTTTGATTTTGTAAAATAAACCATGGTTTAACTAAGACAACAACTGTTTCTTTATATTCTTTATGTGAAAAAAACAAACCTAGTTTATAATATTTTACTCTGAAGGTTTCAAAAATCAACACTGTTCAATGGAGGATGATCACAAAAAGGGGCACAGAATAGCAAACTGAAATTAAATTCATCTAGAAAGGATAATTTGCTAAGAGAATTCATTTTCATTTCCAATCAAATTACTTTTCTAATGACTCATTTAAATAAAGTGTGATACTGTAACTTATAAGAAATATATATTTGGTCTTCAAACCTTTTTTCTGACACTAGCTCCTCAAACCCTTGGAATTTCCAAAGTATTGAAAGTGACAGAGTTATATGTTAAGGAGGTGACTTTTGAAAGCATCTATGGATGGAAGCTGACTGCCAATGGAGCCAAAAACTGATTAGAGAGTTGGAACTTTCAGTCCCATCCCCCTGACCTCAGGGGAGGGGAGAGGAGCTGGAGGTTGAATCAGTTGTCAATGGTCAATGATTTAATCCATCATGACTATATAATGAAGCCCTCAAAAAAGCCCAAAAGGACAGGGTTCTGAGAGCTTCTGGGTTGTTGAACACATGGAAGTGCTGGGATAGTGGTGCACCAGGAGAAGGCATGGAAGCTCTGTGCCCCAGCCACATACCTTTCCCTAGACATCTCTTCCATCCAGCTCTACTGAGTTATATCCTTTCACAATAAACTGGGGATTTAGCAAAATTCTCTGAGTTCTGTGAGTTGCTCTAGCAAATTAATTGAACCTGAGGAGGAGGTTGGGGGAACCTCTGATTTATAGCTGTCAGTCAAAAGTACAGTTAGCAACCTGGGCTTGACAGATATCCGACAGTTGGTGGGGAATAGGGTCTTGTAGGACTGAACCCTTGATCTGTGGGATCTGATGCTGTCTCCATGGAGACAGTATCAGAACTGAGCTGAATTCTCAGACACCCTGCTTGGTGCTGTGTGGGAACCACCCCACCCCTACACATACACTAGACTTGATGCAAGAACCAAAAGACAAAGGAACTGCCTATATCTAATTATACAAATCTAAATTTCTAATATCATTAGTATGGTAAAGCATATTGATGATATAAAAACTTAGAATAATGTAAATTATAACACAACAAAACAAAGTCTTCCACTTTGGTTCAAATGCTCAGAATTTCAAGAACATCTCTGCCATAATAATTGTCTTTAAAAAGCTGAATAGTTTTGGCGTTATAATTAAAGAGTATCAAGGTACATAACAAAGAACTCTGAAACATGTTGGTATAACTATAACTATAATTTCAAAAGAGTTTTTGTGAAAAGCATTGAAGTTATAGAAGCATACTGACTGGGCTGGACAAAATCTAAGGCTCACAGAACTGTTGACATAAAACTTCTCTTTCTAAAAAATAATAAAACAATCAATAAGAACATTCAGGTTTTAAAAGAGGATAGTTAAAATGCACTCAATAAAACCTCAAAGAGACACATATTCATTTATGATGGGATTCCAAAAGCTTGCATCTAAAATAAGATAAAAATTTTAGGTGCGCCCAAGCAACGATCAAAGAATTACCAAGAATGTGCAAGTGTTCAATCACATTCTGCTCTGTGAAGTCAGTTTTATTAATAACTTTAATTGTATAATAATTTTAATTATTTTGTAGATTTAAGCAAAGGATGTGAGCTTAATACCTACATTCTAGTGAGCAAATAAGCTTTCTGTAATTTATAAATTTCAATTAAAGACTGGGTAATGAAAAAAATTTTAAAGTTAGAACAACTTAGTTTTCAGTACACTAATATATTTTTACTTTGTAATACAATATAGCTGTCACATACAATGGCTCTGATAGGCTTAAGTCAAATTTCAATGGGCAAGGAAGGCCAAAGAAGGGTTTATACAATATTCAATAAGCAATAATATCTACTCAGTGTACAATAACAAAATAAAAAAAGTACTAACCTAGAAACACAGAAAAAGAATTTATTGTTTTAAATTCCAGAAATAAAAATAACAGAATAGCATGTAATCCATAACAAGCTGGCCCTATAATTTCTAAACTACAGTCCAATTGAAACATTTAAGAAAGAGAAACAGTCTACATGTTTTTCTACCAGGTAAAGATACCTGAGAAAGTTATCTATAAAGAAATAGGCTTTAAAACTCTTAACTACAAAGAACCTTTTACCGTGACATTATGAAGATATGCTCTGTGCCTGATAGGACACTAAGCCATTTCCCACAGAGCTTCTGTTCACTGCTCGGCTGCAGGTTACGATCTATCAGTGACACAATATTTCACATCAATACCAAGCTCATTTGACCAAAGCAGCACAGTAATGTTTTAAAACCATCTGTTTATATTCATTAGTATGTAAAAATCACAGTACACAAATTTGGGAATGTTTAACTTGTCCATAAATAAGAGCATATTATCTTAGCATAAGCTTTTAAAAAGAGGTCTGAGCAGTCAGCCCAATAATGGGGGCAATAGACTCTACATTTTGACTAATTATAAAATTATCATTGTTATCATCACCAAGAAATAACAAATAAATACAAATAAAAAAATTTAAGTAGTTCTTCTGGCAGCAAAATTATCTACCATAATAACATCTCCAAGCAAAAAAATCAATTCAGAGCTTGAATGTATTTTGTGCTTTGTTTCTATAAAAATGCAGTGTTACTCTCAGACATTTCTAAATAACTAGATTTGTAAATAAGCACTGAATTTCTTTTCATCACAGTTTATTTCTAGTTCATTGTGTGCAGATTATGGAACTAAATTATTAGCTTTTTTCCAGTACTTTAACTGTATGAATCGAGGTCTTTTTATTTTAAACAGTGATTTATTGTCATTCTTAAGGTAAACAACAAAAACAAATTCTAAAATTTTAACTTTAAGTGTTTAAAATTTCAGACGACAGAGCCAATAATTGGTAACAGCTTCTTCAATTTCATATTAATAGTCTAATTAAAAACACTAACGATCACCTGGCAACAGATTTGAAAGAATCGGGTTTCTGTGAAGGCAAACAAAAAAAACCATGCAAAATACCTGCCAAAACACATGATCTTCTTTCTGATTTTATATCTAAACTTGTAAAATGTTTATAAATACATGATTATTCTACACAATACAGAGCTTCTAGAGCATTTCTAAAGAAATTACAGTTTTTGGTCTTAAGGAGTAAGACTAAGATGGAAAAGGGATGAAAACAGTGAAATCTGAGGGTGCAGTACACTCTTTCTACGCATGAGCTTGTGGCTGTTCATCCAGTCAGGTCAGCGGTTACAGTTCAGTACATGATTTTCAAGGCAACTAAGATATCAGAACACAGGTATTTCCTCTTCCTAGAGTTAACAATTCTTTTAAAAGCTCTATCCAGAAAGAACGGTTGGGGTGTTTTTTGTTGTTGTTGTTTTTTAAGGGAACAAAGAATAAATAGGGGAAAAAAATCCCATCCCCAAATTCATATACATAAGTTCAGTGAGCTGTGAGCTAGAGTCAGACTGACCGGTGGAACCAAACTGTTAGTACCATGAGACAGGTGCTACCCTAGACGGTTCAAAACATGATCCACTAAAACAAATACATGTTTTTATGCCTCTAACAACTAGAAAGCATGTCATTATTGTTCTAATACCATGTTTAATTAACTCCTAAGACAGAGTTCTAAGATGCTGTACCTTCACAGTATACCTGAATCATTACTAGCAATACAATGCCAACTTCAAAACTGCTATGAAAGTAAAATCATCATTAGAAAAACTCAGCCTTATTGTAAATGAGGGAGAACTCAGTGCTAAATACTAATACCAAATGTATGAAGGCAGAATTTTTGTTTGTGGAAGACAGAGTGAGGAGTTAAATGCACCCAATCAAGACCAACTGGAAGACAGAACAGAGAATTAGAAATGTTTCAAAAAAAAATAAAAAATAAATAAAAGGAAGAAGAAGGAAAATGGAGGAGAGCCAGGCAGCAAAAGATGGACAGAATGAAAATAAAAGAAAACGAGGCACGTGCATATGGCTCTCTTTTTTCTGACCTCTGTGTTCCTAATACTTTACAATGTAAGTGGCATATAGGTCACGCTGGCAGGCAAGGATGAGCTTTCTGATGGACAGAGATGGAGGATTTGGGGCTAATGGAATTTGTTTTCTGGTTTTGTTTTTGCTTTTAATTCATACCTGAAAGCCTTGAATCCTTGCTAAATATTCCAGTTGTTTTGAAGGTTGTACTGGAGAACAAGGGGGAGTAGGAGAACTTCCTTTTAAACCTATGGCTTCAGCTGTAGGAGATGTTCCATTCATTAGGAGTTCCCTGGCAATTGTGGCTGAACTATTCGATGTGGGAGATATACTGAAGAAAGAGCTTGAGGGTTGGTTCATATCTTTGGGTGACAAATAGCCTAGAGTAGTGCCAGAGATTACTTTGTGGCGGCTGGCTTCCATCTCTTGATAAACATCAGGAGACAAATGAAGAATTCCTTTTGGAGCTATAAATAAAATGAAGGAACACTGTTATTACATTTAAAATAATTAAAATAGAAACATGTTATAGCATTATTAACTTGATGATTTTACTTGGTTTAATGACAAAGGAGTAAGAAACACTGTCAATTAAGCGTCTTCCTCATACGTGCCGAGGCAATTGCAGCCTCAATTTAGAGGTGAATAACATGTTTCAATATTCCCAAATCAGAAGTTTAAAAAGATTAGGAATGTGCTGGGTCTTCAACCTGCAATTTAGTATTTTATCATCTCATAAAGAGACATGAAACCCCTAACACATGCAGCAATTGAGAAACAGTAAGTAAAATGAAGGCTGAATCAGTCCAAGTCATCTGAGGTACAAACTCATATACCTGATGGCATACAGGTGCTCTTCTCCTCACAAGGGTGTCCCACAAACAACTTTAACTCATGAACATTTCAAAAAGTGACAGAGCATCTTCTTCCCAAAACTAGCACTGTCTCCTATCTTGTTAATCTCCTTATGATACCACCATCTATCTGCTCAGTTGTCCAACCTACACTCCTGACAACCATCTTTGACTCACCTATAAATAAGCAGTTACCATATCCACTCTAGAATTTGTCCCTTCATCATCAAGTGTGTGAGTTCAAGCCAGACCATGGGCTGGTTCTGATATCAAGAGGAGTGAGCCTAGGGCTATGTTATCTGTTGTTGGGGTTGTAAACATATAAAAGAAGCCCTTTCCTTTGACAACCATTTGTCTCAGAGATGTTTCAAACCACATTTCACACTGCATGTTCTAATGTCTTTGGATCAGATACTAGCAACTCTCAAATCATGCTCTTTTAAAATTATTGAGAAATCATCGCTTTTGGAGAAAGTGCTCTGACAGACACAACTTAATTCCCATGTTCTTGCCTCTCTCTCTCCCACCACTAACCTTCTGATTCAAGCTTTCAATGTTTCTAACCTGGACTACTGTAACAATCACTAAAAGATTTCACTGCTGGGGCGCCTGGGTGGCTCAGTTGGTTAAGCATCTGACTTTAGCTCAGGTCATGATCTCAGGGTCCTGGGATGGAGCTCTGCGTTGGGTTCCCTGCTCAGCGGGGAGTTGGCTCCTTCCTTTGCGCTGCCCCCCCACCTTGCGCTTGCTCGAGCGCTCTCTCTCAAATAAATAAATAAAATCTTTAAAAAAAAAAAAAAAGGTTTCACTGCTGCTAGTCTCCCTGGTGTCCATTTCCCCAAATGTCTATAACATAGCCCCAAATAAAAGTGTTCCATGATAAATAAATCAAGGAAATAATGCAAACAATTTCACATACACACACCCCTACCTTTTGGAAGATTAAAAATGCACATTAGCATAGTAAAGACTGAGAAGTTAAGAACAAAAATCTATTCAACTTGGTTTAACCCAGGACTTCACAAATTTCTTTTATATCCCTTTTTTTTTTTTTAAGATTTTATTTATTTTTTTGACAGAGACACAGCGAGAGAGGGAACACAAGCAGGGGGAGTGGGAGAGGGAGAGAGAGAAGCAGGCTTCCCACTGAGCAGGGAGCCCAATGCAGGGCTCGATCCCAGGACCCTGGGATCATGACCTGAGCCAAAGGCAGATGCCTAACGACTGAGCCACCCAGGCGCCCTATATCCCATTTTTTAATTTTAATTTTATTTTAATTCTAGTATATTTAACATACAGTGTTATATTGGTTTCAGGTGTATAACATACTGATTCAACAATTCTATATCCTAATGTTTAATGTAACATTAATAACAACTAACACTTTGAAAAATTCTAAGGCTAGCCATTTTCTTAACTTTAACATCTTTTCTGGCTTCTCATCACTGCACTATTAAATCCAAACTCCTTGGGATGACATATGAAGCCCTTAATCATCTGGCTCCTCCTTACATTTCTATTTTCATCTAAATTCTTCATGAAGGGATGTCTGGGTGGCTCAGTTGGTTAAGTGTCTGCCTTCAGCTCAGGTCATGGTCCCAGGGTCCTGGGATCAAGGCCCAATCGGGCTCCCACTCAGTGGGAAGCCTGCTTCTCCCTCTGCCTGCCGCTCCCCCTGCTTGTGCTCTCTCTCTCTCTGACAAATAAATAAACTCTTTTTTTTTTTAAAGATTTTATTTATTTATTTGACAGAGAAAGACGCAGCGAGAGAGGGAACACAAATGGGGAGTGGGAGAGGGAGAAGCAGACTCCCCGCCGAGCAGGGAGCCCGATGCGGGACTCGATCCCGGGACTCCAGGATCATGACCTGAGCCGAAGGCAGTCGCTTAACCAACTGAGCCACCCAGGCGCCCCAAATAAATAAACTCTTAAAAAAAAAAATTCTTCATGAAGATCCCATGCTCTAGTCATGCAGATATAGTCACACTTCTTCCAACACTCCCCGCTGTTTGATCCCATCACATCTTTATTTCTATTACGCCGTTAAACATACACGTGCGCACATACATAGTTAAGCTCCTATCGCTAGGTTCCAGGCACTGTGCTAACCAATACTGTCCTGACCTGCAGTCAGCTCTGTCTGTTGGGAGAGGAAAATGAAAAGGGCTAATGTAACGTGGTAAAGGTGGATCTAGAGAGCAGTGGGAATGGGAAAGGAGAAGCACTAGGAGCTCAGGAAAGGCTTCCTCGACATGACACAGACTTCAGGGGATAAGGAGAATAAAGCCAAGGAGGAAGAGCACTGAAGGCAGAGAGAGAAAGGCAGGGACCAGCAGAGAGTGTGGGTCAGAAAACCTCAGGCAGTTCCTTACCACTATTGCATGGAGAGGTGGGAACTGGAAAAGGTTAAGGTGGAGGCAGGCAGGGGCCAAGCTCCAGGGACTTTATCCTGATAGCATCAAAACACAAAACAGTTGTTATTTTTTAAAAATAATTTATATAGCTCAAATTAACATATATTTTGTGGATTTTATGGATTGACTTTATGCCTTCGTGTTAGTTTTATAATCAGGAAGAAATTTCAATAAAAATTTTTTAAAGAAAACACGCACTGGAAAAAATACAGATAAATCTCCCTAATCAGAGGAAACTACTGACATTTTGCTTTAAAGATATGCTTTTAGTCTTTTTATTGTATGAACTTTTTTGTCGTTGAGTTGAAAAAATATGTTAAAACATAGGAATACCATATGATCCCGTTGTTTATAAGACAATATACTTCTACTACTAATATTAAGGCATAATACTTCATTATATGAATTGTTTCCTTAAACAAGTCCATATTGTTGGACATCGAACTTGTTTCCAAATTTTTGTAATTATAAACAACAGAGTGATGAACATTTTTGTTTTTAAATCCCTGTTTACAAGAAAATTTATTTCCTTAAGTTAGAAGCAGAATTGCTATTCAAACAATATGCATTTTAGGTTTTTTTGACATTAACAATTTGCTCCAAATTGGTACAACTCCAAAAAAGCTGTAAGAATTTCACACTCCCATATTAATATATGGAAGTGCCTTTTTTCCCTATTTTGGTATTGAATATTATTATTAAAAAATCTTTGCCTCTGCTTTCTGTGTAGATAAGTGAGAAGATTTTCAAATAATACCCAATACCAAAACAAGAAAAAGGTACTTTCTGCCCCACCCCTGACCTCTGGGGAGGTGAGAGGAGCTAGAGCTCACCAATGATGTAATCAACCTTGCCTATGTAATGGAACCTCCATACAAAACCCCTAAATGATGAAGCTTGGACAGCGCCCGAGTTTTGAACATATTCATGTGTTGGGAGGGTGGTGCACCCCAATGCCAACTGCTGTGCGCCAGACGCTTTTGGACCTCACGCTATGCACCTCATCATCTGGCTGTTCATTTTATATCCTCAAAAAACCAAAACAAACAAACAAACAAAACAGTGATAGTAAATAAAGTACCTTCCTGAGTTCTGTGAGCCATTCTAGCAAATGATCAAACGTGAGGAGGGGGTTGTGGGAACTTCCTAAATTGATAGCCAGCTGGTGAGAAGTGTAGGTGGTGGCATGGGACTTGTGACTGGCATCTGAAGTAGGGCAGTCTCATGGGGCTGAGCCCTTATCTGTGGGGGTCTCCGTTAATTCTGGGTCATGTCCGAATTGAGTTGAACTGTAGGACACTCAACTGGTGTCTGGAAAATTGGAGAAGTGGTTGGTATGAGGGAAAAAATCTTCATATATTTGGTGTCAGAAGTGCCTTAAGTAAAAACAGTTCATATGTCAAAATTGATCAAACTGTATACATTATGTGCAGCTTATTATACTTCAACTATACCTCAATAAAATTGTAAAAATATTTGCCAATTTGATAAGTGAAAAGTCTTATTGGTTTTTGTTTTTTCATGAGATGCATAAATACCACATGTAATTCTTATTTAAAGAATAATTTAAATGTTATGACTCTAAATTCTACACTCAATTTAAGAAATCAAGAAACTAACAGCATTACTTCAGTATTGTTATTATACAGCAGTAATGGGCTTGCCAATAACAATATTATAAAGCAACAAAAATGCTCTCTCAACACTCCAGAGAGGCATTACATCACAGTGTAAGAACTCATGCAGAGTTCAGGCTCCCTTATTCTACAGTAAAGCCTGAGTTGACTTTTCTTCATGAATAAAGAAGATTCCTTTCTACAGAGCTCAACTAATGTAATAGTTGTTGAAAGACTGTAAAAGACACATGTGGATTTCTGCAGTCAACTACTGAATGATTTTTAACTTGAATATTAGTAACAGAGTGTATGGATTGGTCACAATTCATTTACGTTCTTCCTGTTGTAAATTTAAGTAGCTTTTCAGTAGGGTAAAGACCTGAAAGTAGAATCAAAGAGTAATTTAGGCTATACATAAATTTAAGGGCTTTAACTTATTTTGCCAAATAGGCCTCTTGAAAAACTATACGAATTTATACTTCTATTAGCAGTATGTGACTAAATTTGTTTTCTCATTCTTCTGTTGAAACAGGGTTTATTCTAAATAATTACTGGCACTACAATATTTCATTGTTATATTGAT